CCCGCGGGCACCCCGGGGGCGCTGGGCCTTGGGCGCGGCCATGTGCCTGCGGGGCACCCCTGCCCTGTTAGGTCACCTGAGAATCTGGGGGGCGCTGGGTGGGCCACTCGGGTGGGGGGCAGGCGTGACCGGGACAGCACCTCGGGGGGCCGCGGGCCAGGGGTTTCTCCAGGGTTGGAGAAATGTAAAAACGGGGCCCGCGCTTCGCGTTATTGGGCGGGCACCAGCCAGAGTGCCCACGCAGGTGTGGAGTCACGCGGGTGCGGGGAAAGCTGGTGGACTTGTGCAGCTTTTCAGGACTGCAGGCCAGCGGTGTCTTGGAAGAACCTTAGAACCAGGCAGGCCCCCCTCTAGGATGGTGTCGAGGTAAGAAATGTCCAGGCCTCTAGATAGTTTTTAGACCTTTATTAGAGCCAAACTGATGACAGTTGTTGGGAAGTAAAACCTCAGTGGATTAAGAAAATGCTTCGGCCCTGGCCGGTTTGGCTCAGTGGTTAGAGCGTTGGCCCGAGGACTGAAGGCTCCAGAGTTGGATTCTGGCCATGGGCACCTACCTTGGTTGTGGGCTTGAGCGCAGCCCCAGGCTGGGCACGTGGGGGAGGCAACCAATGGATGTGTCTCTCTGGCTCTCTAAAAAATCAATGGAAAAAGTGGAAAGGTTAAGGTGGGTGGTGTGAGGGCAGCTAAATAGCCTCTCAGACAGTGAATAAAGAAAAATTGAATTTATTTAAGGAAATGGGGCTGGGGCTATCCAAAGGGAAGGGCTACACAGCACAGTCAATGGTATTGGGTCCATGATGGCAGCCAAATGTACTTGGGACAGTGACACAGGAAGAGCATAGAAGAGGCAGCAGGAGAGCCCAGGCTGGGCTGCTCTGGCTCATTGAGAGGTCTGGGGGGGGTCCTTGGAGCCCTTTAGAGGGAGAGGTGCCACTGCCTATTGCTCCCCTGGTTGGAGTGCACCCTGAGTCCTTTGTCCTCAGCATATTTATCTCTTTCTTGGTGGTGGAAATCTTAGAGGTCTCAGGGGGGGGTCTCAATAGAATATTCATCAGCTTTCCAGGTGTGCCTTTTCAGGGTCATGGTCTCCACTGATCGGTCAGTGCCAGGGCAGGGGGTCGTTAGTCAGTGTATGTGAGGCAGCCACAGGCGCCACTTGTCTGGTTTTGGTTATGCTGCTTATCTGGGCCTGGAGCTGAAATAAAACTGAGGCCTAGATGTTATCTTTGGGGAGGAATGCTCAGGGGCCTAAACTGCAGGACCAGTGATAGGCTGGGGGAGGATAGGCTCTCCTGGGGACAAGGTTCTTGTTTTCCGGGTTTTCCCCTTGCTAGGCACCCGGGGCTTTATACCCTGGTGGGTCTCCGTACCCTGGTTTCTGTTCCTGGCTTTCTGTACCTGGCCCATCTGACACTCATAAGGACTACATTGGGCCCATCCAGGTAATCCAGGACAGTCTCCCTACCTGGAGAGCCCTAATTTAGCCACAGAGACCCCTTTGCCATGTAAGGTAACTCCTGACAGGTTTGGGGATTAGGAATGGACACCTTTGGGGGCCTGTGCTCTGCCTACCATTCCTAACATCTGGATTTTATTGTGCAATGTGTATTGTGTGTTAGAAGCCCATACACAGATGACAGAAGAGGGGCACCCCAGGCTTTTCATCTTTTTACCTCTGTCCAGTTTTCTACAAGAGCTCATACTGCTCGTGGCACAAGAGTCATGTTGGTTCGAGTGACTGCCAGTGCCCCTAGGAGTCCCCCTCCACCCCTCACCCACCCTCGGGATGCAGCGCCTCTGCCTGAAACCCAGCACCACCCTCGTTTTCCTCATCCAGGTGGAAGAAGGCTGCTCCCTGTCCTCACGTGACGGGTGTCAAGTTGGCAAATTGCAGCTGCTCTAGGGCAGCTTATTGGGGTGGGGGGTCTGTGCCTTGGCGGTCTGCCCCTCATAGCCCTGGGCTCTCCAGGACCCCTGGCCCCACACTGGTGGTCCAGACCCCCTTGCTACACAAGCAAGGACTGGCCCAGCCAAATACTCTCCCAAATTGAGTAACACTTCACTTTGTCCCCCCAAAGAACAGACAGCCAGTCCTTCTTAATCCCCCCTTAGTACTGTGCCGCACCCTGGCAGCTACAAACATGAGGCCAGGTCAGCAATGAGCATCCTCCCAAGTTTGTGAAGGGGTTTTCCAGTCACTGACCGGGTCTGCTGTCGCCTGGGGGACCTGCCTGACCCCACCCTGCGCTCCATCACTTTGCGACCCCTGCTTCTTAACTATAAGAGAATGTTTATTTAGAAAGTTAGAGGCCCTGGCCTGGTGGCTCAGTTGGCTAGAGCATCGTCCCATACAGCAAGGCTGCGAGTTCAATCCCGGGTCAGGGCACATTCAGGAACCAACCCAGGAGAGCGCAAGTGGAGAGGCACCTAGACGGGCCCCTAGGCGCGCGCCTGAATTCTCTTGGCGGATAGAAGTGCGCGCGGCTCTCCTTGAGCCAAGTGGAGCCCCGAAGGGCTGACAGCCTCGCCCGCTGCCTCACGTCCACGGCAGATGACCGCCGGTCACTTCCTCTTCCCAGGCTGGTGGCGGAGAAGAGTCCCCTTGTTTTCTTTCTCCAGGGAGACGGCGCTGCCCCGGGGCTGGGAGAGGGCGGGAGGGGC